TATGATTATTAAAACATTAAAGCTAATGTCCAAGAGAGTTGATTCTTTATGATTTTTTTTAACCAAAGAAATAGTTTGGTCTGGAACTCATTTTGGATGATAACTTCTAAATCCACCCAGGAAAAAACTTTCACGCTGTAGCACCAGAATCACCTATGTGGCTTTTGACCAGGGGCCCAGGGGCCCTCCTCACCACTGCCCTACCTGGGATTCAGGCACCCTCCCGACCACTGCCCTACTTCAACCAAACAGCCTGAGTTATCTCTGGGGTGGGAGAGCCCAGCGTGCATCGCAAGCGGTCCAGGAAACACAGATGTGTATGTGAGTCTGAAAACTTCGCTGATCCGGAGTTGAAGAAACAAAGGAGAGATTAAGCCGTTCACCGGCGTCATTCAGATCTGTATTCTGTATTCTAGTCTTGCTCTCCCTACTTTCTTTGTTTCCCCACCTGTTTTCCCACAATCTACAAACCGAAGCAAGGCGAACTAACAGCATCAGATGGCAGGTATTTCAGTGATTAATCTGTTCAGGACTAATCCCCACAGAACGGGCTCCATAGCAACCGCCCGCACTGCGGTCTCGCTCTGGTCCCTGCTTACTTGGTACTCGGGTTCTTGATGAAGCCGGTGTTTATGAAGTTAGGGCAGAGACACGACGTTTTGATTCCGGATCTTCCCAGGGCCGCCAGTTCATCCGTCAGGGCTCTGTGGAAGCCAACAGCAGCAAACTTGCTGGAACTGAAAGAAAAGGGGTTTACAAGTAAATTCAAGAACACTGAGGTCCTGCAGTTGGGGGAGCTCTTCCGACCAGCATAAGGGCACCCCTTGTCACGGGCCTGGGGTAGAGCTAGTGGGCCAGCGCCACACTAAGGTAAATTCCTAGGCACCAGAAAGCCCCAGGCACATGGGACCCGACATTTCCTACATATTGCACCCCTAATTTCAGTGCATTAAGTGAGCCGACAGGAAGCAGAGTGTTTGCTTTCACTATCGCTATTACATAAAAACCAGGGAACTCTGTGGGCAACTCTTCTGTACACAACCATTCTTCCTTTCAGTCACAGCCTAACTTCCTCAGAGTCCTTTTCTTCCTCCCATTATATAGCACTCCTAGGTTTTCTAAGATGGAATATTTCAGTTTTGTAACGAAACATTGACTGTGCCTAATTTTTTGTGTATATATATATTTAAACAATCAGTTCCTGAAGCTGTGAGCATCCATGTGTTTTCATGTGTGCAGTGTGTATATATTTGGGTTTTTTTGTTGTTGTTGTTTTTTAAGCTTTTAAAAGAAGCTTTTATTTTGTAGCATGCACATTACAGGAACAAAACACAAGAAGCTAAGAACAGTCTCCCAGTCACAAGCAGTTCAGCTTGATGTGTCCTTCCAGATGCTGCAAATGTACATACATTTAGGGAATTGAGATTATGCAGTATGTACCAAGCTTTCCCCCACATTGTGAATATTCGCCAACTAAAAATCCCACGCTACATGAGTATTTTGATAACCAAGAATACACCACACCATCCCAATCTGTCAGACAAATCTGTAATCCTGTCTCCCTTGACAACAAAAATTTCATAGAAGACAAAAATGGCAGCAGGCTTCTAGATAGAAGTACTGGCGAAGTTACAATTAAGATTCTGCATTCCCTCAATGCTCAGCTTAGAGAAACAAAAAAGCAGCAGACCAATTAAGTACAGTATCCCTAAGTTTATCATCAGATGTATATACTAAAATGTGAAGGTGTTCCTGCTAAATAAATGTATTCCTGTGGAGTACTGAAGACGCACCTACGGCACGGGTCCTCAGGATGTCAATCTCAACACAGCACAGCGCTGCAGATCTCACCCTGTGAACCTTTCTGTGTTCCTCCAGTCAACCTAGCAACATGAATTAACTCCCACTGTCCAGGCATGGCTTAGCTAGCCTATGTTCAAGAGTCACCTTTTATTTCAGCCTATGAAGCTATACTTTTAACCATATGCTCTCCTTAGGACATTCATGAAGTTCAGATGTTGTGGGATGAACTTTGTACACAATAAATAGGTATCTTCCCATATGCATGTACAGCTGTAACTGTCTTCCAGATGTGGTGGTCTCAGCAAAGAGCTCTTCCTTCATCCCTCTTCTCTGCACAGCTCCAGTCCAGGATGATTCTACCGCCAGTATTACAAAGTCCACCCCAGAAGACAGCCCTTCCTTTGGGCACCGGGACTTTTCCTCTAATACTTGGCAACATTCCACACTAACTGAAACGCACACCGGAACAATGGCCAGGCTGGTGGAAGCAACCACCAGGCACAATGCCGTACCCTGCACTCTTCTTTCCCTATCCACCTCCACCTGGTAACAGAATCTGCTCAGAGATACAGTCTAACAATTCCACACAACCCCAGTAACCATTCCTATGAAATAATAATCCCTAGAAAGTGTTAACCCTCTATTTCTACCATGTGCATTTTTACATTAATTAGTACATGTGGGCACATACATGCCACTGTACTTGTATGGAGGCTACAAGACAATTAGTGAATCAGTTTTCTCCTTTATCATGTGGGTCATGGAGCACAAACTCAGGTCACCAGCTGAGTGGCAAGTGCCTTACCATCAGTCCATTATGCACATCTTCTTACTGTTTTGAGACAATGTCTATGTCGCCCTGGCTGGCCTGGAACTCACAAGATCCACCTGCCACACTTAAAAGTCTAAAGACTAGATGTTTCCAGTAACACTTCTGTTTCCCTAGCATACATACAGTGCAGTGCAGTAAATAAACTGCATATACCTATAAATAGCAATGTTCTGGTCTAGAACCTCTCCCATCTCTCTCAACCCAGTTTACGTAACCGTTATTTTCTTTTTGTGGAGGATATTAACAATTTCACTTCCTAAGAATTTTCCCTATGAATTTAACACAACTTTAAAAGCCCGTCTTTTCACTAACTCTACTGTCACACACGGGCAGCCTCTTCACCATCTAGGAAAACTAAGTGCTGTATATTTGGACTTGTCGTCTTCTGTATACAGCACACATTGCACAAATAAGATGCACAGACAAAAGGACAATGGCTAATCTTGCATTACCAAAGCTTACATTAGTATTAGGCTCTTCACACACTCTCTTTCTTCTTCCCTCCCAAATCAGCACAAGTCTATATTGCTCAGAAGTGATCTTAGCATTCCATTTCCAAAAGACAGCATTTCATCACAAGTTTAAACAGGATAATCTACAACATGTATTATTTACTACATCTATCTTTAGCATACTTTGTGCACTTCTAAACGCCTAGAAGGTCTAGATGTTTCAGATGAGGACATAAATGTGTCCCCTATATACAGTGTAGTGTTGAAACCACACACAGGTGACAATGGGTAGATCTCAAGTGTCTTCTGCCGAGACCATTCTGGTCTCCCACCTCCCCTGTATCACATGACACAGGACCTAACACTTGGATGAGACTTTCACAACCCCTTTCAGAAGACAACCTTGTATGACTTTAACACAGAGTGTACAGAATGGGCTAGTTTACTAACTCTACTTTTGTCATACACTGGCAGCCCCTTTAATGCCTACAAAGTAAAATTAGGGCTCCTTTGTCCAGTATGTACAATATATACAGTATAGCAGAGCTAATTGAAATGTATATACGGGTGATGGGTAAGCTAAAACTATCTAGCACTAATGGAATCTTTTTGCAGTTTCTTCCCCCAACCCACCTCCTCAATCCATTGAATAAGTACAGCTGGTACTGCTCTCAGAGCTGGGTTAGCAATTCTACTTCTAAACATAGTATCTCCAGTTTTTCAAAAACCATTTACACAAAGTTTTATTCTACTACTTCTACTTTTAAATGTATCAAACACTTTTACAATGGTTATTATCTGAGGTATCTTCTAAATGTAACCATCTGGGCTTTGACCCACTTTCTTTTCTCCCTTCTCTCTGTCTTCAAACCAGTAGACAAATACAGGCATATGCAATGCTTAGAAATTGGAACAAATTCGTATTCCCAAATCATTTACAGAGCAATCTTTCCTACAAATTTTAACAGTGTACACAATGTGCTAATTTTACTACTTTATCAGCAACCTCTTTAACATTTAGAGACTAGAAGCTGAAATGTTTAGACATATTTGCCCATTATATACAGTACACACACAGCAAATATATAGAAATGGCATCTGAGAGGTCCCTTATGAAAACACTAGTACACGACCTTGCTGCCTCCCAGAACTTCCTCCAAAGCACTGAGCAAGGACAGACGGAACTGCTCACAGAGGGGTTCATAATTCCACCCCAAAGTCAGCGTTTCGTGAATTTTAGCAAAAAGATATTTACAAAGTGATATTTTACTACCGCTACATTTAACATATGTTGGGCACTTCTAAACATCTAGATAGATCAGATGTTTCAAGTAAGGACTGTTGTCCACTATGTACACAGCAGTCCAGTAAACGGCACACTTATATCAAGAGTAATAATCAAAAAATTTTAACACAAAAAGAAAAAAATTAACACAAACGTATAAAATATTGTTCTACTACCTCTACTTTGTCATACACTGGCAACCTCTTTAGCATCTAGAGTGACCAGATGTTGTAAATAGGACTCCTTTGTCCTTTATATAACTACATATGCTATTTACACAGCAAAGCCTAACAAAATGGGACAGTGGTTTCTTTTCTGCCCATGGAACACAATGACTTAGAGCTCTTCATTTCCTTCTCATGGAAACCAGGGGACAAACACATTGTGGTCAGCTCAGGAGGGCTTTGGCTATTCCTCCCCAAACAATATTTCAAATGAATCCTAACAAAAACGTATTTACATAATGTATTGTTTTACTATTACTGCTGTTTATAAAATATATCAGGCACTTTAGAGTATCTAGAAAGATCTTTCCCAAAAATTACTTGGCATTGTCAAACACACATCACACTGTGAGAAAGCGCGTGCCTTGGCCTTCGGGTGGGCCCATTCTGTCCGCCATGCCACGCCCGCCGACACGGGGAGAAGTCCTCGAAGGCCTGCCTGGAGCTTCTCCATGGGCCCGGCCCTGGAGAGCAGGGGTCCGGTGGGGTCGAGGAGGCCGCGCGCAGAGGTCGCCGCCATTGCGGCGCTTCGCTGGCGGAGGAAGAGTCGCTGTAGGATCGCGGCTCGGCCGGGCCGGTGCTCCGGCTCCTAGGGTCCGCAGGACGCAGACCGAAGCTGCTCCCGGGGCCCCGGCTCACCCGGCGCAGTCCTGAGGCGGTGGGGGGCCCGGAGGAAGGAGGCCGCAGTGCCTAGCTCGCCACGCTCTCTGCCGGAACTCGTGAGTGTATATTGTATAAAGGCAAGATTTTAAAATTGATGTTGTTCATGAGTGCACTTCACCTTATTTTTTGAAACAGGGTCTCTCTCTATGAGCCTGAAGCTTGCCCATTGGCTCTCTTACACTTTTACTATAATCTCCATGACTATATTGGTCACAAATGAGTCTCCAGGGCCTCTCCTAGGACTGGCTTCTTAATAGGTACTCAGTAAATATTTGTCAAATGAACGAACAGAATGCAAAGCAATTCTCACAAAAACATCATCACTTGGAAATATTGTGAAACTACTCTAAATGGACTTTATTTTCCAGGTAGCTATAAAACAAGCTTTAATGAAATATAAAGTATATAACACTTTAAATTTTATATTAAGCATGTAATACTTTATATTTTATATAAAAGTATGTAAAGGTATATAATTCAATCATTTGTTGATATCTTACATTACTAATTTAAAAAACTGTCATAAGATACATGTAACATGAAATCTGTTACATCAAGTATATTAATTACCATATAGTTTTATGCTTTTAAATCTTTATGAATAAGAACCTAGCTAAGGTCTCTATACAGTCTTGTCAATTAAGCTGTACTTTGAAAAACAGGAAGTTGTAGAAGGTTTTCTATTTTAAGCTTGGAAATGCATTGAACCGTAAACAAAACAATGTCCCTTTCAATGGTGAGGTGGAAACTTTCAGTACATATATATTACATGCCAGGATCATTTTCTTTCTTTCTTTCCTTCTTTCCTTCTTTCTTTCCTTCTTTCTTTCTTTCTTTCTTTCTTTCTTTCTTTCTTTCTTTCTTTCTTTCTGTCTGTCTGTTTTTCTTCCCCCTTCTCTCTTTCCCTCTCCCTCTCCCTTCCCCCCCTCTTTCTACCTGCCTCCTCTGCCTCCCCAGTTCTTGAACAGGGTGGTGGTGACTTAATCCCAGCATGTATAACTTTCTATATAAACCAGGCTGGTTTTGAACTTGTGACCTTCCTGCCTCAGTGTCACTCTACCAGGCTAACTATAGATTGTCTTTCTCTCTTTCATTCTCCTCACTCTTCCCCCTCTCCCTCTCTTTAGACCCAGGACCATGTAGATGCTAGGTTAGTACTCTACCCCTCAGTCCTTGTTTTTAGAAAGTGTTTCTCTATACAGCCCCCACTGGCCCTGAACTCACAGAGCCCCGTCTCTTGCTTCTGCCTCAAAGCACTGAGATTGCAGGTGCATACCACCACAGTTACAACTAAATGCAGATGTTTTTCTTATATGTGTGACTACTGTGTTTAAAGTGTCCAAAGAGTTGTACCAAATGCTCAACATGTTTCTTTGAGTTTGGTGAAACCAATAAGTTTTCTTTTAAGAAATTCTGTTTTCTGACTTTTTTCTTAAGTGAATCAAAAATGCAGAAACAGCTAGGAATTAACAGTCTCAAGTGTCTGAAGGGAGAAGGGCATGGATTACAATAATGTGTCGGTGTGGCTTTAAGAAATGGTGCTTGGAGTATTTCCTTCAAGCAGGATCAAGCCCTGATTTGGATTGGGTTGCCCTTCCCTTAGCTGCCCTTTCCTATATAATCCTGCCGTTTGGGCTATGCCAGCCTCTCTGCCCAGGCTGCCCCTCTTGGTCAGCAGCCCCTCCCCTACACTCTTCTCCTCCTCCTCCTTAGGTGGTCATGTCCACTCTGGACTCCAAGATGTCCCTGCCTCTGGCTATGCTCTCCCACATTTCTAGAATAAACTTTCACCATATCTAGGAGCAGTCAGGTCCTTTTCTTTTTATTTTACTTTCTTCATTCAAGGAGGGTGGAGAATCAGGGAGGAGTTAGAGGGAGAAATAGGAGGATGTGAATATGATAAAATTCACACATTAAATTCCCAAAGATTTAATAAAGTATTATATTAAAAAAACCAAGATACCATAAAAAACCCCACTTAACAGATATCAAAAATCATCTTAGGAAAGGATCAAAAAGGCTTGACTCTTCCCCACTGTCACTGTGCACTTTTCAGGTCAATCACTGAAACAGCTCAGATGTAACTCTTACAGTATGATTAGTTTTCTCCTGAGAAAGATGGTTGGAGAGTCCTAAGAGATTCCGTTGCTGTGACAACCAACTACGGTGATAGGTGAGGGTTAGGTTATAGAGTAAAGAATCAGTAATTCTGTCTCCCCTTCGTTTTATCGCACAAAGAACAACTGGAGACCACAGAATCAGTTTCTCGGGGCTGTATTCTGGGAGCTGACAGGTGGGGGCCCTATTGTTTTTCGTGAATATAGGCAAGTGGAAGTGAAATTCCAGCAGGCACCCTCCAGTTACTGAGCAATCTCAGGATCCCAGAATCAGCGCTAAGTTCATTGTGTTCTAGGACTTACATTAGATACTGTTATTAAACTGATGAATGATGAAAATTCAGCACTGAAAAGCTGAGAACTTAGCATAAGGTCTTAAACTAGTAAATGATCAGACAATGCTCACTTTTACTATTCCAAAGGAATCCTATCCTGGAAACATCCCAGATGTTCATAAACAGTAGGACAGGCAGATGGGTTGCTGTGTAGTAACATGATACAAGACTATGTATGATCAAACAATAGCCACAAATGACACTATGGGCATATCTCACAAATACAGCGAGATCCCATATACATAAAGATCAAAAATGGGCAAATTTAACCTGTATTGTTACAAGGTAGTTTGTGGTTATCTGTGAGAAGTAACTAGGGCGGGCACTGAGAGACTCCAGAGGTGGTGTTTTATTATTATTATTATCATTATTATTATATGGATGCATCTACTTTGAAGTAATTAATTTTTCATTATTATAAATGTGTATTGTGCTTTTTAAAAGCTTTACAATTAAAAGGCAGTGTTATGGCCAGGTTGTGGCTCAGTGTAGAATGCTTGCCTTGCATGCACAGGGCCCTGGATGTGATCCAGCACTGCAGAGAGTGCTCACTGGACACACATGACCCTGGGTGTGACCCAGCACTGCACAGAGTGCTCACTGGACACACATGACCCTGGGTGTGATCCAGCACTGCACAGAGTGCTCACTGGACACACATGACCCTGGGTGTGATCCAGCACTGCAAAGAGTGCTCACTGGACACACACGACCCTGGGTGATCTCCAGCACTGCACAGAGTGCTCACTGGACACACACACAATCCTGGGTGTGATCCAGCACTGCACAGAGTGCTCACTGGACACACACACAACCCTGGGTGTGACCCAGCACTGCACAGAGTGCTCACTGGACACACATGACCCTGGGTGTGATCCAGCACTGCACAGAGTGCTCACTGGACACACACACAACCCTGGGTGTGATCCAGCACTGCAGAGAGTGCTCGCTGGACACACATGACCCTGGGTGTGATCCAGCACTGCACAGAGTGCTCACTGGACACACACACGACCCTGGGTGTGATCCAGCACTGCACAGAGTGCTCACTGGACACACATGACCCTGGGTGTGATCCAGCACTGCACAGAGTGCTCACTGGACACACATGACCCTGGGTGTGATCCAGCACTGCACAGAGTGCTCACTGGACACACACACAATCCTGGGTGTGATCCAGCACTGCACAGAGTGCTCACTGGACACACACACGACCCTGGGTGTAATCCAGCACTGCACAGAGTGCTCACTGGACACACACATGACCCTGGGTGTGATCCAGCACTGCAGAGAGTGCTCACTGGACACACATGACCCTGGGTGTGACCCAGCACTGCACAGAGTGCTCACTGGACACACACATGACCCTGGGTGTGATCCAGCACTGCACAGAGTGCTCACTGGACACACACACAACCCTGGGTGTGATCCAGCACTGCAGAGAGTGCTCACTGGACACACACGACCCTGGGTGTGATCCAGCACTGCACAGAGTGCTCACTGGACACACACACAACCCTGGGTGTGATCCAGCACTGCAGAGAGTGCTCACTGGACACACACGACCCTGGGTGTGATCCAGCACTGCACAGAGTGCTCACTGGACACACATGACCCTGGGTGTGATCCAGCACTGCACAGAGTGCTCACTGGACACACACACAACCCTGGGTGTGATCCAGCACTGCAGAGAGTGCTCACTGGACACACACGACCCTGGGTGTGATCCAGCACTGCACAGAGTGCTCACTGGACACACATGACCCTGGGTGTGATCCAGCACTGCACAGAGTGCTCACTGGACACACACACGACCCTGGGTGTGATCCAGCACTGCACAGAGTGCTCACTGGACACACATGACCCTGGGTGTGATCCAGCACTGCACAGAGTGCTCACTGGACACACATGACCCTGGGTGTGATCCAGCACTGCACAGAGTGCTCACTGGACACACACACGACCCTGGGTGTGATCCAGCACTGCACAGAGTGCTCACTGGACACACACACGACCCTGGGTGTGATCCAGCACTGCACAGAGTGCTCACTGGACACACACACGACCCTGGGTGTGATCCAGCACTGCACAGAGTGCTCACTGGACACACATGATCCTGGGTGTGATCCAGCACTGCACAGAGTGCTCACTGGACACACACACAATCCTGGGTGTGACCCAGCACTGCGGAGACTAGGTACACTGGTATACACCTGTAAGCCTAGGCCTTGGGAGGTAAAAAAACAAGATCAGGTGTTCAAGATCATCCCTGGCTTGATCACATGAGACCCTATCCAAAAACCAAAAAAAGAGTGAGAGAGGAAGGGAGAGAGGGAGAGAGAGACAGGGAGAAGCACAAAGAACGAGAAGGAAGTAGTGTGTTCACTTCCTGGTTACCAACATCTGATGATGCGGTTTTCTGCCGGTAGAAGTCTTCAGTGTCTGAAAATTCCAGCCTGAGAAGATGCTCAGCAAAACTGAACCAGTGCTGCAGATACTCCTTTACACTGTGTGAAGATGTGTCACTGTGATGAGTTCAGTGGCGAGCCAAATGGCCAGTAACTCTGCAGGAAGAGGTTAGGTGAGACCTCTGGGGACAGAGAG